TTTTATGCTCTAACATTAGATCATCTAAATTGAGAGTATGGCTGTTGAACAATGGCAAATGTGATTCAAATTATAGATTGAAAGAGTATTTATAGTCTATTAAGATTATGCACTTTGATAAGTTGATAACAAGATGAAGAACTTTAGCATAGCATGTATATTCATCTCTAATTCTAGCACACATCAAGGATTTTCTTAGCACAAAACAGGGATGAAGGGGAGACTTTAGGAGGATGGTTATATAAAGAAATTTTTTCATTCTTTCTATCATTAGCTTGAGCTAAGAGACTTAGGCTAATATACCAGGAATCTAGGGTTATATTTTGTACTTAAGACCTTACACATTTCCTAATATCACATATAATAACCCTGCATCATTTTTAAAATGCTAATAAAATAATGCCCTGTTATATTTTCTTTTTTATGAGATAATGAGCCTTTTTATAGGACATAATTAAATAAAAAAATGTGAAATAATTATATCAAAAAAATATGCATGTTACCTAAACTTAAAAACATAATATAATATTTTCATATTCTACTTTGAATCTTCCTATGCTGCATCATTAATCTTATTTTTTACATTTAATAATGTTTATTGATTATATAGATGTTAGATCCATTTTATATGAATTCATTAATATGTTTGCCCATTTATATTTAAACTTTTACTAATATACAGAAACAGGATCTTAAAATGGCTCTTCGAAAATATAGAAAAGCTTTGAGGTACTTGGATGTTTGTTGGGCCAAAGAAGATATTGATGAAGGCAAGGCATCGTACTTTATGAATCATTATAAATTTTTTTTTTTTCTCTTGTGCCTTCTTTCGTTGATGATTATACATTCTCTTTGTGCGAGATGGTTGATGGAAGTGGCATTCATTAAAGATAAGTAGTATAATATCGGCTATTTGGACTTGTATAATGAAGAATTAAAAATATACTGATGAAACGGATGAATAAAATTAGTGTCAAAAGATTTAGAAGGCAAATGAGTTAATTAGAAGGTAATATGAGTAAAAGCTTTGAAATATTTATGTGGAACAAGCATAATACTTTATTCGTAGCTCAACAAAAAGAAATGGAGAACAATGAGTCATAAATTTGATTACAAATTGGTGGGATAAGGTTGAATAGATGATCATGATGATACACATACTTATGCATTAATAACATGTGAAAATTAACTTGATTTTGCTAAAAATGCTAATCACCAATAGCTTCTGCTTGATAATCAAATCTGTCAAGGGAGATTGCTTTTATTCCAAAATCGCAAGAAACAACATTCAACTGATAAGGTAAAACAAGAACTTTGAATTCCAATTATGCTACATTTTATTGCTTTATAATGTTGCCACGTGGTACTCCTTTTTTTTCCTAATTTGTAAACGGTGCTTAGATTTAGTACTAATTGACTTAACTCTTAAACTTTCAAAAAACTTAAATACATAAACAAATGGAACTCATGCTTGCTTTAGGTTTGATTAAACTGGTACCTTTTAAGTTTAAGTTTGATACACGCCTGATATGCATGAATTCCTGCATACATACATCCTGAATTAACTAAAAGAATAATTGCCAGTGCCACGGGAAGTCAGGAAAGAAGCATTGTAACATAGGGGCCGCAATTAGTAGTCTGGATCAGCCTAAAAATCTTCCACTTTCTGCAATATTTTGGTTTTATAATATGAAGTATCCTCAAACAATCCCCTCCCACCCATCTAATTGAGTTTATAATCTTTTGTTTGTCTGACATTTTAGTTTATTAAGAAGGAACCGCAGTTGTTTCTCTTTTGATTCAGAAAGAGGTGCCCACTTTTTTATCTGAGCAACTAGACTAATTAGTATATAGTTAGGTTTTACTATATCACTTCAATTATCTTACTGTGCAGAGAAAACGTCTCAGTTAACGAAGACCAAATCCATGATATTGACAAATAGTTCTGTAAGTTCTACTATCTGGTATTTTCTTTTGTAGCTTTAGTTTATCTTCCATTCTTTATAAATTAATTCGGTTGAGTATCCATGTTTAATTGTTTTTGAAGATAAGTTAAATAGGTAGTCAAAAAATAAAGCTATATTTGGAGACATTAAAATATGACCCTATGGTGCACATGCTTATTTTAATTTCCAGCGCAAAAATCTTCTTGGACTGTGATTACAGTTATTAACCATCTAAAAAGGCTATATAGGTGCATAAAGATTGATGTTGGTTTTCTTTTGTTCATTTAGGTTTAGTTCCATGGCAATTGTGCAAAAACCTTCATATATCTATGATTATCTAAGGTTTTTTTACACTAAGTGGTTTAAAATGAGTTCTTAGCATTTGAATTCATTTCTTCCAACTCACCTTGATAAAGGAAAAAATTGAGTTCCACTCTTAGATAGTGTTGCCACTTCCAAGACAAGATGAAATAAACAACTATAGATTAATATATAAATCTGAAAGCAATCATAAAGGTCATTGTATTATGATTTTGTAATGAAATAAAGAAGATGCTAAGGACAATTAGAGGCCTAGAGAAAGCACAAGAATTGAGTGCATAGAAAATTTAGCTGATGCAAAACAAATAGAATTTCCCTGGAGCTCTAAACACATGAAATGAACTAGCCTAGAACTCCATGCAAGCAAATATGAGAGATCATATTACAATACATTATTATGCCTAAGAATAAGCATGAAAGACCATTTTTGCATAGAGAATAGATGTGAAATATCAATACATGAGTTGGATATCTATTTGGCCAAACCTCATGCATAACTTATATTATAACTGCCTGTTATGAAAATGGTGAGATTATTATGAAAATGGCACACTAAATCTGTTTTGAGGTTCTCAGTTTACTCTGGATGTCGTTGGGTGGGGAGTTTTAAAAACTGCTGACGCTTTATTAAAGCGAAATATTTTGGTTCCATCCACTTGCGGGTTATGTCACTCATTCCTGAAAGCTCATCCCATTTGTTCTTTGAGTGCTCTTACTTCTTTTCTATTATTTCTTATATTATTTCGGCGTCTCATGGCTTACTGCTTAGGCCATCAGTGTTGCAACTTCTTGAATGGATTGATGATAAATACGCCACCTAGCAGTCGGCCAAAAATTTATTTATGCTTCTTGCCTGCTGCTCCATTTACTACATCTAGAAGGAGCGTAATGAAAGGAGATTTCGAACTACTTCTCATAGTCTCACTATTGTTGCCATTAACATCAAAAGAGCGGTGTTTGAGAAATTTATCAAATGGAAGGATGCCTAAATTATTTTGGATTTGCTATAAGTATGATTTTCGTGTTGACTCTCATTGCCTCCTCATGATGGTTCAATTTTTTGCATTGCCTATATGTTATGCCTTGGACAATGATGTACACATTTGCAGGGCCCCCTAGGACAGCCTTTTGGGCAACCAGGGGTACTCGATTCACTCTCTGATCTTATTAGTTCTTTTTTCTGAGTCCAGGCATTGTCGGTTGCGCTAGTTGGATTTCGGTCTTTGGGTTTTTTTGTGCTTTTTGATTATATCCTGTAATTTTTACTGCCATTCTTCAGGATTTATATTTGTTTTTGGGCTCTTTACGAGCCAGCCTCTCCTTTTTTGAGGCTTTTGATTTTATTACCTGTAATTTTCTTGATTAATATACGGGCTCTGCCCAAATTTTCCCAAAAAAAAAAAGTTGATTATTTTGTTGGCTCATGTTTTGTTGAATCATGTCTTTTATTTGACTTCGCTTCCAAATATACTTCTTTTTCAGGCTTGTAAATTTAGGTTAGGAGACTTAAGGGGGTCTCTAATCGATACGGAATTTGCCATTCGTGAGAATGCCAGTAATGCGAAAGCATTCTTTCGACAGGGTCAGGTTTGTCATCTATTTGATATTTTCTTTGTTTTTATTTTTTTATTCTAGTCTGAGATGCTAATCTTTGTCGAGTTTATAACTTATTTTGTAGGGTTTATTTAGCATCACTTATTATTTATGCTTTTTTTTTTAATACATTACATTAATATTGTAATTTTCTTTTATCTTTTTATAAAAAATAAATCATTATTTCTTAAAATACTCAAAATAACTTCCAGTGGTTTTATTATTCTTAAAGCATGAACTCTCAACCACCCGATCTCATGCACTGTGTTGATTGTCGCCGCCCCGCTTGTCGCCCTACCACTATTGCCACAACCGCATAAATCAATTTATATAAAATATTTCATAAAAATAAAAACAACTTTTTTAAAAATATCAAATAGAATTTTATGTCATATCAAAAAAATAAAATAAAACAAAAGTGATCCCCCACCTTCCATCAGGTTTTTTCATTTTTGAAAGTTGTTGTGAATTGCTTTGTAAGGAACTTGTTCTATGTTTTTGAATAATCTCTCTTAAAGTCAAATGAGAAAGAAAGTGTTTAATTTCCTTAGAAGTGATGATTTTTGGTGTTTATGGCCCAAAGGTCATGATTTTTAGTAACTCAGTGGCCCATAATCAGAAGCATTTTAGAGGATCATTTTGAGCCTCAATAGTCATCTTGTGGATTTCAACACAGCAAAGCAGTAAGCCTCAGGCATTAGATCAATGCAGTCCAACCAAGTTCTAGAGTTCAGCATTAGGTTTTGTTTCTGGGATATACACAATGGTACCAAATAATTGTTAGTGTTGTTTTCAAATAAATATCGATTGCCTGTCATTATAAAAAGAGAAATTATCTGCATATTGCATCAAGGAATTTTAGCTTATTATCTTATAATCTCATAGTGCTTATGAATCAAGAAAATTCATTTTATCTCAGGCTTACATGGCCCTTAATGACATCGATGCGGCATCGAAGAGCTTCAGAAAGGCTTTAGAGTTGGAACCAAATGATGGTTAGTGAAATAAATTCTGTTTTTTTCGTGCACTTCAAAAATTTTATATTGAGTGTTTGGTTCTAATTTATTAAGCAATGACATTAATCTATAATAAAATATTTAGAAAATATTAGAAATATCTTTTCTTATCTAATTTAATAGATTTGACTTTTAAACTGAACACCAATGGAGACAAATATTCGACCCACATAGGTGGACAAAAGCTTGATGTTGTTGTCATTAATTAAAAAATGTGAATGAAGAAAAAACTTATCAAATTATTATTATCGTGACTCATGTCTGCATTCTCGCAAGAAATAAAAACTTAATTTCTAATCAATCAAAGAAAATGGAACAAATACTTCTCACTTGATTTCTCTTCAACCAAATAAGTGAAGAAAAGCAATTTTTAGTTCAATTCCTTAATCATTTTCATTACCATTTCCTTTCTTATAATTCCTTCAAAACAAACAAATTTCGTGCTGTGATGATAATAATCTATTGCACGCATCTCATGGTTTTTTTTTTTAGGAGGAATTAAGAGAGAACTAGCCACAACCAACAAGAAGGTTCGTACTTCGTAGAATGACTTGGACAAATTATTTTTGGTAACTGCCAAAATAATCATGTTAAAAGATATTGCAGATAGCTGATAGACTTCACCAGGAGAAGAAAGCTTACGCCAAAATGTTCCAATAAAAATTGGGAAACCTTCGCTGTAGGTATGTTTTTTATACTAATATTTCTATTAGTTTGTTTCTAATTATTAGTTTTTGCTTGAAAATACATAATTAGTATTTATCTGGCACAGAACTTCTGTTTCCGTAGGTGATAACCGAAGCCAATCAATAATAAAGCAAGTTATCTTTTTCGAGTTCCTGACTAACAGCGAATTTTCATCATTTTATTTATCATTATCAGCATCTTCACTGTAATTATCAGTTATCCAAATCACAAATTTGATTTATCTAAAATGAAATCACTAGTGTTACTATATCTACATTATCACTTGCTAACTAATTATAATAGAATTTTATATAGTATTGTTGTATTATCTCATTTCTATTTTTGAGGATATTATCATTTATTCTATTTTTCTTCTTTTGCTTATAGAAAATTAACATGATGTCTATCAATTTCTCTCTTTTCTAATATGTATCAGAGTCATGGTCTAGACTATTCTTTATTTTCTCTAAACAATTTTCTATCGATGCCACCTATCTTTCAAATCTCCATTGGCTTGCTTTCTGATTGTGAACCATCGGCGCTACACCTACTTCGCAAATGCATTCTTTAATGACTTTTAGGTTTCGTTTTGGATGACTTTCTTACTGCTTCTTAAAGTAGCTTTCTAGCACAAAAATTAAAAATTTTGTCCTAAAAAGTTTCTTTAGGAAGCAGTAAGAAAGCCGTCCCAAATAAAATCTTAACATCTAGCTTCACCACCTTATCATGTCCATCCTAATTTTATCTCTGTGGCACCAACAAAAGCTAGAACTTACTCCTTTGATGCTCTCTACCATATCAATATCTTTGTTTAAAGATCTTGTGTGTATCTTCTCTAATTCAACTCTTTTCACCGGCTCTGTGTCTGATTTGTACCATCTTTCCATGAATTGGTTATACTTCTCTTGTAATAAACACAGCAAATAAAATCTTTAACTATCTATTTCTG